ACGACCCCGAGCTACTCTTTGAGGTGACTCGAGTAACTGAGAACAGACCCAACCTCTTTTTATCGATTTGTTATCGGCATCTACACTGTCCGAGCAATTCCTGACGCCCCGCCCCACCTGCCCAAGAACACACACCCGGGTTGGGAACCAAACACAAGAATCCTGCTTATGCCTGGCCACCGGCGTGGCTCCCTGATTGAGCGTCGACCTATGAACCAGGAGGTCTCGGTTCGATTCCCCGTCAGGGCGCATGTCCCAGTTGCGGGCTCCATCCCCAGTAGCAGACCTGCGGGAGGCAGCCGATCACGTGTTCTCTCTCATCATTGATGTTTCTCTCTCTCTCTCCCCCTCTCTCTCTCTTCCTCTTGGAAACCAATCCTATATAATAAAAGGCTAATATGCAAATCGACCAAACAGCAGAACGACCAGTGGCTATGACGCTCACTGACCACCAGGGGGCAGACGCTCCATGCAGGAGCTGGCCCCTGGTGGTCAGTGTGCTTCCACAGTGGGGAGCGCCGCTCAGCCAGGAGCCAGGCTCACGGCTGGTGAGCGCAGCGGGGGTGGTGGGAGCCTCTCCCGCCTCCGCAGCAGCGCTAAGGATGTCCTAGTGACGGCTTAGGCCTGCAGAGCGTGGGCGCAGGCTGGGCGGAGGGAACCTCCCCTCCCTGAGTGCATGAATTTCATGCACCAGGCCTCTAGTAAAAATATAATAATAATAATAAAAGAATCCTGCTTCTCCCCCACTGTCAGAACCTTTTCTTCTTCAGGACAATCCCACTGGGACTGGAGTCTGTTCCAACAGTCCTCACGGGCAGCTAAGAGGCCTGCAGGTCCCCACAGACAACGCTCTCCCTTGAGAACCAACCGCCTTACTGGCATTACATACAGGCACGCACTGGGGGAGGGAGGTCAGCTCTCTCCGCAGCCGTGAGCTTGGAAGGGCCCTAACATTCTCCGTCGCACCCCGAAGACCCCCCAGGAATGGCCCTGTTGCCCTCTAGGGGGGAAACGAGCCACCACGCAGACGGAAGGGCACCTTGCCCTGAACTCGAAGGGGGAGAGGGAGAGCCCCCTTGCAGGGGAGGTGCTTACTGGATTTCAGCAAGGCCGCCAGAACCTCCGCGGCTGCCCTGGGGAGAGAGAGAGAAAGGGGGAGACGTCAGTGCCCAGACCACGGAATCCCAAAGCCCACACGCGTGGCTGCCTCCTACCGGCCTCGCGATGAACCAGGGGGCAGGCATCCTGCGGACACTACCTCTGGCCACCGCAGAGGCGGAAACGCAGAGTTGGCACGGAGTGGCCTGTCCGTCTCGCAGACGGGTCGCAGGAGTCCCCTCCCCCTCTTGCCTCCCACCTTCCACCGAGGCCCCCACAGGGAGCGCCTCCTTTTCCTGCGGCTCCTTCCCCACCAGGACTCTCCATTTATCCCGGAGTCCAGGGGACTCTGAAGGATGAGGGGGGGAGGGGGGACCCCGAGGCAGAGGGAGTGCAGTGAGCACTTCTTTCTTCTAAGTATATATTTTTTTAAGAGAAGAGAAGAGAAGAGAAGAGAAGAGAAGAGAAACATCAGTGATGAGACAGAATCACGGATCGGCTGCCTCCTGCACGCCCCACACTGGGGATGGAGCCCACAACCCGGGCATGTGCCCTGACCGGGAATCGAACCATGTCCTCCTGGTTCCTAGGTCGACGCTCAACCACTGAGCCACGTCGGCCGGGCCACTTTTTGAAACATACCCGGCCCCGGACACACTCCACTGTTTCTCACACTCCAACAGGATGCCTAGCGAGGACGATTCCTTAGGGTGGAAAATGGCTATGGGGGGGTTTTCCTTCCAAACTGTTTTCGCAGTCTCTGCAGCAATGACAGGCGTGTCAACTACAAATGCCTCTGGTCCGTGTTTCAGGGACCTTTCTGTCTGCCCGCCCCCCCCCCCCGCCCCCGATTCTGAAGATTGCAGAGCAGGTCAAGGAGGCTGGATGAGCCCAGCCAGCATGGCTCAGTGGTTGAGCATCGACCTATGAACCAGGAGGTCACAGTTCGATTCCCGGTCAGGGGCACATGCCTGGGTTGTGGGCTCGATCCCCAGTAGGGGGCGTGCAGGAGGCAGCCGATCCATGATTCTCTCTCATCATGGATGTTTCTAATTCTCTCTCCCTCTCCCTTCTTCTCTCTAAAATTAATAACAATATTTTTTAAAAAATAAAACTTTCCTCTACTTAGAGATGCAGAGATGAAGAAGAGAGACGATTTGAAAAATGTCACAGCCCCCCAATATCTCACAGGGGAGATATTTGCTGACCCATAGACAAGTCCACAGTAGTTCGAAGACACCTGTAGACTGGGCTACGCCAATGTCTTATTAAAATGAGGCCATCCAAGTCGATCGCGATGGTAATATTAGATATGCATGTTTTAATCATGTGTAAGTATTCATACGCGCGCTGCATAATTGAGAATATACTTTAATCTACTTTTCATTATTTATCGTAGTATCATTGCACGTATTATACCATTATTACGTGCCATGCACTTTTAATATAAAAGTTTGATTAAGAAGACTACTTTTCCGCCCTTAATTTAAAGAATCCATGATTCCGTGAGGCAACACCATATGGGACTTAATGAGAAAATTGGTGGCTATTACTCTAGGAAAATAATATAATGGAGCTAAAATGTGCTATTTAAAAAAAAACACCTTTAAACATCAAAGCAAGAAAATGATCTCAGCTTCCCGGGTCTGAAATATGGGTAATTTTTAAATCACTCTTGTCAAAAAAAAAAAAAATACACCATCGGTGACATAAACGAGGTGCTAAAGACGAAGTGGGCCTGGGAAAGATAGTCTTTCTTATAATATTTTGAAATCAAGAGAGAGAGTTCATTAAAAAAAAGAAAGAAACTTAAGTCTCCGATCCATCCATGTAATGACACCGGTTCTCTTTCTCCTCCTTTGCTTACTCCTGCCGTCACCTAAAATAAATCCAAGCCCCGGGGAGGCTTTTAAAAATAAAGACGTGAAAAAGGAAATGGTTTGACAAGCCTGCCGAAACCCTGCATCTGGACCTTCCGGCCACGAGTCCACAAAGGGAGGCGCAGGGCATTTGCATGGGAAACGGGTTTCACGGAATAATCCCTCCGCGGGAAGCCAAGCCGGGCCTCAGGGGAGGTCATCTCTGCTCCGCGATCAACACAACCACATCCTGGCTCTTGCCAAGAGAGCGGTTCTGCAAACTCCCAAGGATGCTGGAATCACCAGGTTTATTTGAACAGCCCCACTGAGAGGATTAGCTGGTTTAAAGGTCAGAGGGCTTTGCTAGGGTGGGCTTCCTACATTTAGTAAAGTGTTTGTTGATAAAATTAGAATCTTTTTTTTTTTTTAGTTATATTTTTATTGATTTCAGAGAGGAAGGGAGAGGGAGAGAGAGGAAAAAAACATCAATGAGAGAGAATCATGGATCGGCTGCCTCCTGCAAGCCCTCTACTGGGGATTGAGCTTGCAACCCGGGCATGTGCCCTTGACCGGGAATCGAACCGGTGACCTCCTGGTTCATAGGTCGATGCTCAACCACTGAGCTATGCTGGCAGGGCTTAAAATTAGAATTAAATAACACAAATGATGAGACATAATGTTCCTGGTCAACATTAGACAAATGTTTAAGACTTTCCTAGGGAGGCGATAAGCTTTTATGTGGCCAAACCTTCCGCCTCTGCATTCATTAGACAGGTGTGCTGGATTCATCACTTGGAGGAGAAAACCAAATAAGTTAGCTGTTGAGTAACGTCACAATTTCCATAACACGCATCATGCATGAAAGAACAATGGTCCCTTAAGCAGTGGTCGGCAAACTCATTAGTCCACAGAGCCAAATATCAACAGTACAACTATTGAAATTTCTTTTGAGAGACACATTTTTTAAACTTAAACTATATAGGTAGGTACACTGTTATTTACTTAATTAGGGTGCTCCTAAGGCTTAGGAAGAGCCACATTCAAGGGGCCAAAGAGCCGCGTGTGGCTCTCGAGCCGCAGTTTGCCGACCACGGCCCTAAAGAATGGGAAGTTAGCCCGGCCAGTGTGGCTCAGTGGTTGAGCTTCGATCTATGAACCAGGGGGTCACAGGTTGGATTCCCAGTCAGGGCACCTGCCAGGGCAGTGGGCTGGATCCCCAGTGTGGGGCGTGCAGGAGGCAGCCTGTCAATGATTCTCTCTCATCACTGATGTTTCTATCTCTCCCTCTCCCTTCCACCCTGAAATCAATAAAAAATATATATTTTTTTTTTTTATAAAACCACCAGGACAGAAACCATATCTACTTCCAATCACCACCCAGCCCCAAAGCCAGCTCAGCACCCAGCCTCGGGTACGTAGGATGGAAGAATGAAGCCGTCAGTGAAGGCGACATTTAAAGACGCTCGTAGATCAAGCGGGGAAGTGAATCACTCATGCTTAGTGACTATAATAAAGAATAAATTTATTCCCGTCATAAAATAACGTCTACACGTGGAAGGGAATATGTCAAAGGCAGTGTATTTGTATCAGGTTCGGCAGAAAGGCCTAAGTGACAAATTACAGAAACACAGACAGCGTTCTTTATATACGTCTATTGCCTAGGGCCCTGCGGGCTTTTTTCTTTCGCGCCTTATTGTGACGGGGTGGGGACTGTGATGAAAAACAAAACTTTATCCACCCAACAACTCACTATCCGACGAATTCATTCCAGCCTTTGCCAGCAACTCTCCTCAGAATGAATATTCATTAAATACTACGTGGACGAGCATGAATCCCCATCAAACAAAATTCAGGAAGGCAACATTTGGGTTCTCCAAACACCGGGGGGGGGGAAAAAAGAAGATAATAAATTGAATTTCTTAAAAAGCTTATTTTCTTTGTGTTCCTCTATAACTATACAGTCATCTCATGATAACACTAGATCTTAATATCTTAAGAGCTGGACGCCAGCCCGGCTGGTGTTGCTCAGGGGTTGAGCGTCGACCTATAAACCAGGAGGTCACGGTTTGATTCTCGGTCAGGGCACATGCCTGGGGTTCTGGGCTCCATCCCCAGTAGGGGGCGTGCAGGAGGCAGCCCATCCATGATTCTCTCTCATCATTGATGTTTCTATCTCTCTCTCCATCTCCCTTCCTTTCTGAAATTAGTACAAATATACTGTATATTTGTATATATATTTGTATATATGTGTGTATATACCAGAGAGAGAGAGAGAGAGAGAGAGAGGAGAGAGAGAATAAAAAAAGAAATAGCCCTAACTGGTTTGGCTCAGTGGATAGAGCATCGGCTTGCGGACTCAAGGGTCCCAGGTTCGATTCCGGTCAAGGGCATGTACCTTGGTTGCGGGCACACACCCAGTAGGGGGTGTGCAGGAGGCAGCTGATCGATGTTTCTCTCTCATCGAAGTCTCTTACTCTCTATCCCTTCTCCTTTCCCTCTCTGTAAAAAAAATCCAATAAAATATCTTTTTTAAAAAAAGAAAAAGAAATGGATGCCAGTGTGTTGGGTGAGGCCCATTGAAGCTGTCATACCCAAGGCTACCAACAGAGGGCAGTGGGCTGTCCCTGTGCTCAGGTGAATGGCCTGTGGCCATCCGGAACTGCCTTCTCCTTTCCCTGCCTGGCAGGCTCTTCATCTTGTTTCCGAAACACTGCTCTCCCCCATTGCTGGCGCCTGCCCGTTGCCCACGCTCCCTCCTAGCCTTTACGCTTATAACTCTGCCGCTGCATTATTTCGCTTCATAACGGCGCCCTGTAATTGGGGGGCCTATTGGTAACTCCGTAAGGCATCTGGGGAGGGAGTCGTCTGGCCGGAACCTGCCCCATGAAATGGGACTGTGTTAGGTGTGATGGTGATGACTGTGCTTAGGGTGGGCCATTTCCAGAGACAGATCACCCGGGCCTCGGGGAACACGGCGGCTGGGGCTGCCTCTCTCCACTCCCGAGCCCTCCCTGGCTCGAGTAAAACCGTCCACAGCACATGTTTTATTTATTTATTCGAGTCATTGAATCGTTGCTGCTTTTAGATATTGAGTGGAGAGAGGCCATCGTACGGCAGCGGGGTGTGGGGAAACGGACTTGGACAGTCTCAGCGGGAGAACGGAATCGCACTTCAGC